CATATTTAATTATGTTATATACAAGTATTGTATATACTTAATAGTGATCTGCTAGGCAAAGAAGAAAAATATATTTTCTTCTCTTTGACATCTTTATATTCTTTTTTGAACATATTTTTCAGAATATTTTTTTGTTTTTATTTTATATTTTGAAAAATTGATTAAGAATATAGAAGTAACTTTCTGTTTCTTTTCATTCATTCAAGAATACAGAATTAACAGACTATTTCTTTTCATAAGAATATAGAAAATATGTTTAAGAAAAGAATGTAAAGTAGCAATTAATGAAATATTTTCATGAAATTAATTAAAAATAATTTTTTTTATTCAATAATTCTGCTTTAATTTTTTTTAGAAGAAATTGATTAATGCAAAAACAGAATTATTAAATAAAAGAAACTATTTTTACATAATTTCATGAGAATATTTTATAATTTCATGGATACATGCTACTTTTACATTCATTTTTTTTTGAGATATGTTTTTATATTTTCTGTTTTTAGAATATATAAGACACAAAATTGTTTATTTAAAGTAAATAGTTAACATTTTAAATTTCATTTTATGAAAATATTTGAATATTTTATGGATATTTAACATAATTTATATTCTTATTATGAATTTTTTTTAGATTTTTTAATATTAAAAATAAGAAAGAATCTGTTTCTATTTTTGAGAAACAGTCAAATCCAAATATTTTTCTCTTAACTTTTAAATATTTTAACGTTTTTAATTTTATTCCATAAAAATATTTCAATAATTAATAGATATTTTGCATTTTTACATTATTTTTTGAAGGTATATCACAGACTTCATTTGTATTTTTTATATTTTCTATTATATGAAATAATCTAAGAGTATGTAAAACAGAATTATAGGCGTGTATCCTAAAAATCTACACAAATTTCAATAGCATTTTCCGGTAATTAAATGAATTCGATAGAAGAAATGTGATTGGCAGATTTTATTCTGAAAATCTTACACAGTTAATAACTTCTCTGCAATAGGAGTTTCACGGAATAGTGTATAGCAATATTTCAAGGGTAAAGCAAAGAAAACCTGCAGAAAGAAAAACAGGAAGTGGTCGATAGAGGAGGAAAATGACTGAAAGGAATAGAAATCGCAGGAAAAGTTGGTAAACTCTTGGAAATTGGGAAGAAAGTTCAAAATTTCACACGTTCGCCTGAAGGAACGTCAAATGACTCTCAAGAAGTGAATGTCTGCTCCAAAATACACGACCAAGCAACTTGCTACTCAAAAAACCCCGAGGAAGCTGCTTGATGGAGTCTCTAAGGCATCAAACAATCTCAATATGGTTTTGGACGACGAGCCTTATTTTACTTTTAATAGAAGTGAATATCCTGGCAACAATTACTACTTTACCAAAGAAGGGCTAGATGTAGATCATGAAGTCAAATTCAAATGACAGTTGTAAGTTTTTGCCGAAATTTTTGGTTTTGCTGGCAATCAGTCCAAAGGGATGTTCAGAGACCTGTATTACCATGGTGCTGGCTCTCCATCACCAAAGAAATGTATGGTAACGAATGCATTCAGAAGATGCTAGTATCTTCCTAAAGAAATATTATCCTGATCAAAAATATGTCTTCTGGCCGTTTATAGTCATCATTCATTTTAAGCTCACGACACAGTTGCTAGGTTGGGCCATTACGAAGTTTGATACATTTCCGTTAATCCAACGTTCCAAACGTTCGCAACTGAGATCAATTGAGAAACGTACCAACTGAAGAAAAAAGTTTATGAAAATAGTTAAAAAGCTGGATTCGCGAAGGAGTTGGAGGAGAATGGAGACCAAACTTCACTTAAAAGCTCACTGCTTCCGGAGGTTAATGGAACGGTTAAGATGAAGTTTGAGTTACAACCAGTTATGATCCTGTTAATCTCACCCGAATGTTAAACAACCTATCTGTACCTAAAAACCTAACTTTAAACATGAATTGAATGTCTTATTTTACCCCAAAATATACTCAAGAAACCTTAATTTTATACTAAAAAAATTTTAAACATGAAACATTAAATACTGAATTTTAAACAATGTTGAAATTTGAACAGATTTTTAGGATACACGCCCTCATTTAGTGAAATAAAATAAATAGTATCTAAACATTTTTTCTTAATTCATGAAAATATTTTAACATTTCATGAATATTTATACATTTCTTTCGAATAAATTTCCATTTTTTCTTTAAAATTTTATAATAATTATTATTTTTTTAAATTGAGAAATAAGTTTAAGTGTAAAAAATTATTCAATTAAAAAATATTTAATATTTTAGTATTTTATATTAATTTTTTAAAGAAAATTTTCAAATTTATTTTTATAGATTTGAGAGAATTTAAGAATTTATACATAAATTATTATTTAATTTAAGAGAATAATTAAGTAGAAAATTTAAAGTAGGAAGAAAGAAATTAGAAAACAAAAAATAAAAATACGTTGTAATAAAGAATATATTTATAGATTTATACTAAAATTAGGGGAAATTTGAGAAGAGAAAATTGAAAACAAAATTAAAAAGTAAACTAGAAATATTATTGAATAGAATATTAAAGTATGCAACTTTCTCAAAATAAAATTAAATAAAAAAAAAACCAATAATAATTTTAATAAAATAATAATAAAAAGTTTCATTAAAATTTTAAGAGAATGCATTTATAAAATAGTTTAGAGAATAGTAAACAATAAAAGTTTTAAAATATTAAATAAAACGTTTTATTTTAACTAAGTTTAAGAAAAATTTAATTTATTTTTAAAATTTCTTTCTCAAAACTTGATTAAACAGATAAGTCTCGAGTAGACAGGGATCTTTGCCTACCTGAACATGAATAATAAACTTTTAACATTGCATTCCTCTTGGTTTCAAGCCAGAATAGCTAGAAAATATATATAGAGGGAGTTATTTAGAATGACAGGATTGCTTTAATACCTTATTTCTCTGCATGCTAATGATATCCAATTTAATTCCCTGTTAAAATCTTGTTTCTGACTAATGTTTACCTTTCTGGCATGCTCTCTGTTTACCAAACAATTGTTACACTCACTCCAATAAAAGCAAATAAGAGCTAACAGATGTAACAGAAGTCCAAACTACGAATCTCTTCACGAATTTTGACGTAGAATGTTTCGAATTCTAACGAGCAAAACTTATTGTGATATTGTCACTGCAACTTTTAATTATATTTTTAATTTAAAATATATGCTCTCGATCTCAAATTAGTGTCTTGCCTCTGTACATCATACTTTTCCTTTAACAATAGAGTCATGCCGGTTATCTAAGAAACTCTGTTCAGGGGAAAATTCTTAAATTAAAATCACGTTCGTATATAGTTAATAGGGCCTCTTGTTCCTAAGATTTTTATATTAGGCCTCGAATTTCATTTATCTAACACAGTTCTCGCCCAATCACCATTCTGCTCTACATTTAATATTTTTAAATCATCCAATCACGTTTGGCGTACAAAAAAGGAGCGTTTTTAAAATTTCAAAATAAAAATATCGATGAGTAACGCAAATAAGCTTAGACATTTACGAAAGTATTTCCCATTAAGTCGTTTCAAAATGGCGTAAGAAATGATCTATTGACGATGTTATGTAGCTTAATGTAAGAGTACCTCTTGAAAAGGTTTTCAATCACTCTGTTTGCGAATTAAATTGATCACGATATATGATTTATCGTTTGCTACTGACGAATGGAATTATAAAATATTTTACTATGCAAATTTCTTATTCTGTAGAGAACAATAAACACGATAAAATCGATAAAACATATCGAGGTTAGTCTGACTTGTACCATTCTGTATATAAGAATAAACTAGAGCAGACATTTTTATAATGTAATTACAATAAAACCTGTGTAAACCGGACTCATACTGTCCTGAATATTTTTTCCGGTTTGGCAGGTTTTTTTCATTAACAATAAAATATTTTTAATTGAAAGTAGCCTATATGAAATTTTATGTTTTAGTAGAAAATTAATAGAGAAATTTGATATTGTATGGGTACAAAAATAGTATCCTTGTTGACAAAAATTTGTCAAATATGATAATAATAATAATAATTTATATATATTATGTACTGTATATTAAATAACTAATTAAATAATTTTTTTAAATAAAAGTTAAAATACTGTATATACTAAAATGCTTGGTACAGACTATACGGTATTGTTTTGTTAGATTTAGTGCTGTGTTCTGCATTGTAAACATAACACTAAATTTAGTAGAAGAATATCGAGTAAGTTATTATAACAACTATCAGACAGTGGCGCGTTATAGCTTCATGGGTTCCAGGAAAATTTGAATTAGGAGGGCCCCATGTACAGTGGACTTCAGACTTTTTTCTTAGAGGAAAATATTTTCTTATAAAAGATTGATTTGGGGCACCTCTTGGTGGGGACCCCAGGCAATTTCCTTTTTTGTCCATAGGATAACGCGCCACTGCTATCAGAATACCGGTATCCGTATACAGTTAAACCTGTGTAAACCGGAATCGCACTGTACTGAACATTTCTTTCGGTTTTGCAAGTTTTTGTTTTGGACAGGTTTTGCTGTATATACAAGTATATATATATATAGTAAAACCTGTTCAAAACGGAACCCGAATTAAAAGGAAACCTGCCTAAATGGAAAAAAATGGAAAAAAATTCTTCGAAACGGAGCGATTTTCTACGTTAAAGAAGAACCTGTTCAAAACGGAAACCTTCTAAACCGGAAAAAAATATTCGGTACAGTGCGATTCCGGTTTACACAGGTTTTACTGTATATTGTTATAGCATCGAATACGCCAGGTTTTTAGCAATATAATGCCCTTGAAAAGCAGGTTTTTCAGAGAAATCGTTCTTAAAATTTTTATTTTTGTTAGAAACACAAATACTATTAAAATTCTAGAATTATTCATTTTCAGTCTTTATTTTATATAATAAAATTATTATTTTTTCTCTTAAAAAATAATATTTTTTAATGAAAGATGGTATTTATTACAGGTGGAAAGAGAAATAGCAATTATGAAACTCATCGAACACCCACATGTTTTGGCTTTATACGACGTGTACGAAAATAAAAAATACCTGTAAGTTAGAACTAATTTTTTTAAAAATTAATATTAATAATAGATTTGCTAGAATAAAATTGATCAGAATCGCTAAGAAATTCTTTCGTTAGATTTGTGCAGACGTCGACTAAATTCTCGTAAAGTTTACACGTTTTCGACTATTCTCAATTCCCGAAAAATTATTAAATTCGGTTTACTGCATGTTATTTTTTTAAATTTAAAATTAAATTATACTCAAAATTCATTTAAATTTAGAATAATTAGTAACGAACGATTTTAGAAACAAATTATGACTGTGGGAGATTTTTTTTATTTAACTACATTAAAACCTGTGTAAACCGGACTCTTACGGGTACTGAATATTTTTTTCAGGTTTCCAACAGATTTTTAACACAGAAAATCGTTACGTCCGAAGAATTTTTCCTGTTTAGTCAGGTTTCTGTTTTATTAAGGTTCCGTTTTGGACAGGTTTTACTGTGTTTTTTATGTATACTGAATTGTCGTGGTATTTGTATAACGTTCCCAAGAATACTGATTGCATCCCCAGAGGGATCATAATCCACTTATTGGAAACCTACCATTTGGGGAAAATTATCTGCATTTTTTTCTTTTTTTTCTTTTTTTCCCCTGTTATTTCGATTCCCTGATCTGACCAGAAAACCTTATGAATATTCAGTTAACATTGTGGATTAAATGCAAAAATATCAAAAAATATATAAGAAAAATAAATGCGAATTTTAATATTTCGGATGTCCAAATCTTAATTCTTGGATAAAAGATTTTATTTTATTTTATTGGTGAAATAAATTATCCATTGATTTTACTTTTACGAGGGTGCCTCTTCCGATCGAAAGAATCGATGACCTTGCTATTTTTTTTTTCTATAAAACTTCCTGATTTAACTGTTAAACATTAAAAAGGCTAACGTATTATGAAAGGATGAATTTCGAACTGTAAGATCCCATCCGGCTTGATCGCCAAACATAATTAGAAGGCGTGTCCGAGAAGATATCTCACGGTCTATAAATCATGCTAGAGAATCATTTCTATCAAAATAGCTGTTTATCATCTCTTTGTGGAAGCGTTGCTTCTATCTACAAAATCGCAAGGAGTAGAAGCCATTAATGCTATAATAGATCTACGTAAATTTAAGTAATTAAAGTGGATCTATATATAGATATACTTGTATATATATATATATAAATATATATCTGAAGTTAAAGATTGCTTCAATTTACTATAAAATAGTAGAAATCTCTACAAATATTCCCATAGTGATTTAGCAGATCTTATCTAGTAGTAAATTGACACGAGTCTCGTGATTGGTATTATTGATAAGAAAAGACGAAGCTTATTCACTTGATACCTTTAAAAATTTACTCGTTAATTGTCTTGTAGAGAAATAAATATTTATTATTTTCAAATTTAGGCTTTATATTTGAGAAATATCGATGCTAATTATTATTAAATTAAAGAAAGGGAATAAACGAAGCCATTACTATCTCGTCATTTCACAGATAAATGTTTCAAGTTTAATTTCACATTTTTGAGAAGATTTTTTGTTAAAATGTCGTTATTAAAATTGTAGAATCAGTTCTCTAGTCTTAAATATAGAAATGAATGTTTATAAAAAATGTTTAATTTCTATAAAAATTAATATTAATAATAGATTTGCTAGAATAAAATTGATCAGAATCGCTAAGAAATTCTTTCGTTAGATTTGTGCAGACGTCGACTAAATTCTCGTAAAGTTTACACGTTTTCGACTATTCTCAATTCCCGAAAAATTATTAAATTCGGTTTACTGCATGTTATTTTTTTAAATTTAAAATTAAATTATACTCAAAATTCATTTAAATTTAGAATAATTAGTAACGAACGATTTTAGAAACAAATTATGACTGTGGGAGATTTTTTTTATTTAACTACATTAAAACCTGTGTAAACCGGACTCTTACGGGTACTGAATATTTTTTTCAGGTTTCCAACAGATTTTTAACACAGAAAATCGTTACGTCCGAAGAATTTTTCCTGTTTAGTCAGGTTTCTGTTTTATTAAGGTTCCGTTTTGGACAGGTTTTACTGTGTTTTTTATGTATACTGAATTGTCGTGGTATTTGTATAACGTTCCCAAGAATACTGATTGCATCCCCAGAGGGATCATAATCCACTTATTGGAAACCTACCATTTGGGGAAAATTATCTGCATTTTTTTCTTTTTTTTCTTTTTTTCCCCTGTTATTTCGATTCCCTGATCTGACCAGAAAACCTTATGAATATTCAGTTAACATTGTGGATTAAATGCAAAAATATCAAAAAATATATAAGAAAAATAAATGCGAATTTTAATATTTCGGATGTCCAAATCTTAATTCTTGGATAAAAGATTTTATTTTATTTTATTGGTGAAATAAATTATCCATTGATTTTACTTTTACGAGGGTGCCTCTTCCGATCGAAAGAATCGATGACCTTGCTATTTTTTTTTTTCTATAAAACTTCCTGATTTAACTGTTAAACATTAAAAAGGCTAACGTATCATGAAAGGATGAATTTCGAACTGTAAGATCCCATCCGGCTTGATCGCCAAACATAATTAGAAGGCGTGTCCGAGAAGATATCTCACGGTCTATAAATCATGCTAGAGAATCATTTCTATCAAAATAGCTGTTTATCATCTCTTTGTGGAAGCGTTGCTTCTATCTACAAAATCGCAAGGAGTAGAAGCCATTAATGCTATAATAGATCTACGTAAATTTAAGTAATTAAAGTGGATCTATATATAGATATACTTGTATATATATATATATAAATATATATCTGAAGTTAAAGATTGCTTCAATTTACTATAAAATAGTAGAAATCTCTACAAATATTCCCATAGTGATTTAGCAGATCTTATCTAGTAGTAAATTGACACGAGTCTCGTGATTGGTATTATTGATAAGAAAAGACGAAGCTTATTCACTTGATACCTTTAAAAATTTACTCGTTAATTGTCTTGTNACTATAAAATAGTAGAAATCTCTACAAATATTCCCATAGTGATTTAGCAGATCTTATCTAGTAGTAAATTGACACGAGTCTCGTGATTGGTATTATTGATAAGAAAAGACGAAGCTTATTCACTTGATACCTTTAAAAATTTACTCGTTAATTGTCTTGTAGAGAAATAAATATTTATTATTTTCAAATTTAGGCTTTATATTTGAGAAATATCGATGCTAATTATTATTAAATTAAAGAAAGGGAATAAACGAAGCCATTACTATCTCGTCATTTCACAGATAAATGTTTCAAGTTTAATTTCACATTTTTGAGAAGATTTTTTGTTAAAATGTCGTTATTAAAATTGTAGAATCAGTTCTCTAGTCTTAAATATAGAAATGAATGTTTATAAAAAATGTTTAATTTCTATAAAAATTAATATTGTATGTATGTTTAGTGTGTGTGTGTAACTACCCAAAAACTGTATACATATACGGTATTAATTTTATAGAAACTAAACAGTTATAGAATTCCAAAATTCTATCAAAGTATTTTTAATCTACTTAAAAATAAATTTACAACCTGCTCGGCATTTTGAAATTTATTTAATCTTTTTTTTCCAGTTAGATTTTCTGTTTAGATGGATAAAATTTATCATCTGGGATTTAATTCATTTTTTTACTTTATTCTCTATTACTTCATCAGTATTCTGGACGAAGATCTGCTGAGATGTTTTTGATTTAAAAAGCATAACCTATTTAGGATTGAGGAAAAAAAATCTGTTAATGTTTTCAGCTGAAGAGAAGTTGTATCGAGTAAGAAAAATTACTACGATTAAATGAAAATTTAAGTTTAACAACTGTAATACTGAAAATTTCCCTTTCTGTACGTGAGTTTCGGATGAATATTTTTGAAATTATGTTAAATATTTCGTGAAATTTCTTCAAATAAAATTTATTAATTTTGAAAATAAATGAAAGAACAGCTGCTACATTTTTTTTTAAATGAAGCGTCTAATTTATTTTCATTATCTCATAAGAAGAAATTATTGTTTCTAATCTACAGAGAAATAACGGCATAATTTGATGTTGACTGCTTAAGTATTATCCAAAATTTTAGGAAAATTATGGAGTAATGAAAACAAATAAATGCTTTGTCTGAATTCAAGATGGCTGTCTATGATAATATTTATATTGAGATCTGAAGGATTTGGTTGGTTAGTTAAATTGACGTCTTTAAGCTACGTGATAGGACACAATTACGCCCATTATGAGAGGGTCTGGCCCACAATGGAGTCGACCAGCATGGATAAGGAATGAGGAACGATGCTTCAATCTGCACTTCTCATGATAAATTATAGAAGCCTGTATCTGATTTGAACTCAGATTCCCTACGACGGTAGGTGGACACTTCAGAGAAAGGACTCATTAATTTACGTTTCTGAAGTGGATCCAAGATATAAAAATATAATATTTGCAATTGTTTGGACGTAATGAGTTCCTGCTTGAAACTAGTGAAAATTAGATCTGGACATACGGTGTTTACTTGTCCAGATGTAATTGTCCCTGACAGATAAAAGATAAATTTATAATTGGAAGTTGAGCTAGTAAGGGAATTAAGTATGGAAGGTAAATTATTTTTCGAAAATTTTATGAATGAAGGATGAGGAACGTTTATTTTGAAGCATCTCTAATTAAAATTACAGATCCGTTTGAACAAAAATGCTTCCTAAACAGATTAATCATCAAGTTAGATTAAATTTTTTGAAAAAAAATCTGTTGCACTTTTACATGAAGTGAGTTATATGAAGAGATTCTATGTGAAGTGACTTATATAATCTACTATACATGAAGTAGCTTATATGAATTTATATGAAAAAATCATTATTATTTTAAAATATGATATGAATATCAATTCATTACAACCGTCGTTGTATTCGACTATGAGACTAGAATTATCAATATATAGATTCTATTAATGATTACAAAGTCGTTTTGATTTCAACAGATGGGAAAATTATGCAGTTAGTT